TAATGACAGAAGAAGGATGGGAAAAAATGTTGACCATGATACTCATTCATTTTTAGATCAAGAATGGATCCTCTAATGCTATGATGAGGATATTCACACACTACAGCCAAATATTATGATCCTAGAACTTCCAGAAATTCAAAAAACTAGTGATGGTGAAGCAACAAGCAGATCTGGACTAGCTGAAGACTGGAAGGCATAATCTGAATATCCTAGTTAGTTACTAAAAATTCACGCAGTGCGAATATTTCACCTTCATCTGTTTCAAAGACTAATGCTTCTTTGACCCATCTCAGACAAATATTCTGTTACATGTTCTTTGGGTAAGTGCTGAAGGTAAATACCTACCTATTAAATACAATTGGCAAAATCATATGCCAATAATTTTATATGAATAAAAACTTATTCCATCCTACTTATTATAGTTAGCATTATATGTTTTCATTTGTTGTTTTCAACGACAATGTTTTTAAACTGCAAAGTTTTTTTTAACCACTTTACTTTCGACCATGATATTTTCTCTGCTTTCTTTTCTCCCATGATGTTTTGCACTGCGACGTTTTCACCTAGCATTGGTTTATCCGTGATGTTTTCGGCCGTAATCAGGTAACTATTCATGCTGAAGTGATAGTTTAGTAAAAGTTTTAAAAGTTTTTTTGCAAAAAATCATGTCCTCAGTAACAGTTGTTTTATGAGAAAAGCAAAGTGGAATGATTTCATTTTGCATGACTATCATACAAATTAAAACTTACCATTCTTCCAGGCAAGAAGTAACACTGTTCTCCAAAGCTGCAATCAGACCTGGTTAAGCTAACCTCAACTGCACACAGAAGCTTATTCATGAGAAACCTGTCTGCTGCATCTGCATTCAAACACCATTTTTACTTGATTGTTATATATTTAGTCTTATTTGAGACTATCATTTTCACTTGATTAACTACATAGCTATAATACCATTTTCACTTGATAAGTGGATTTGAATGTCAGTTAATGGCTGCACTGGAAGTAAACAGTAATCCTTCAGAAGCAAAATTTTCTTGTGATGTTGTTGTTGTACTGTCTAATAAATATTTGTAATAATAGCTAACTGGTCTCTGATACATTTTATGTATTGTAACAATTTTTTTGCTTTTGCAACAAAAAAAAAAAAAAAAAAAAAAAAAAAAAAAAAACTTTCATTAATGGCCAGAATAGAATCCTTATTATCAACCTAAAACACCACTACAGAACTGCTGTGTTGTTGTTTGGCCTGTTGTTAAGAAATTGCCGTTCATGGCCTTATCTTTTTAAAAATGAAAGCTAAACAGTTTCAGTATCTTGAGATGCTACTATATGTCTGGAAGTGAAATTTACGAACTGAGAAAGGTAGAGATGTGGTTATAGTATTAAGTACGGTTCAATGAAAACTTTATGAAAACATTCTAGGACACTCAATCTCTTTATGACCTGATGTTAGATGGCCTGCTGGTTCATTTAATAATACCTCCTGTAGCTCTTTTTTGGACTACCTGAAAGCTGAGGTCTAAAAGCACTGATCAAGAATCTTTGATAAATCATGTTTGTTTTACATAAAAAAAAAACTGCAATGCTAATACTAGGAATCACTCACTGGGGAAGGGAAGTTTTTAAAATTTGTTGCAAATGTAAATCATGAATGAAGATGACCATCTAAATATCTTTAACACCAAATAAAAATAAATTATAATTTCTACACTTTTGACCAGAAAATAAAATTCTACATAGCATTTACTATGTTTTTTTTTTTTTTTTTTATAATCTTTAAAACATGAGAAATTTGCTGCACCATGTATTACAAAGAACCAAAGCTCAACATACATCTAAAAAAATTTACATTTCAGAGACTGTGTGATGTAAAATAACACTCTTAGCACAAAAATACATAAAATTATGAGATTTTTTGGATATGACACTTTATTATGCTAATCTGTTTGATTACACCTGTGTCCTTTTAAAAGATGAAAAATTAATTTATTATCAAGAATGTTGAGTGATATCAGCAAGGCCTGAACTTTGATGACATACACTATAGAGGCATTAGGATTTTTTGAGAGGCAAGAGAGATGAAAAATTAACAACCGCCTTCGCCGGGAATCGAACCACGGACCTCTGAAAATACCGGCTCAGTGTGCAGGAACCACTACACCACGAAGGACGCTAGGAAAGTGGGAGAAATACCTTATAACACATTTTTTCCTTGTTTTGGATTTTTTCAGTATTTTCTTCTTTTAAAGCCTTTTCAAAAATTTTTAGAGCATTTTGGGGGCACTATAGAGCACATTCTAGTAATCAAACTGAAAAATACATATACTGTTGAAATAACGCTGTTCCATCTCCTATGAAGTCATTTTTACTAGACAGGCAGAGCTGCCTGCCTACAGAAAATGGATTACGTAACTTGTTAGTCATATCTATTACAACACACTTATCCACAATGTATGAATGTCACTTCTGTGAATTTTTCTATACTAACCTTTCTTGGCTCTTTAGCTTGAACTTTTCTAGCTCAATATAAAAACATACAGAGATAACAAAAGATTTTTCATTTTTGAAAACAGCAAGAAGCATTTAATAATTCAATGCAATTGTAATACATTTGTATAAGGTTGAAAATTTACACAAAATAAAATTCAAGTGACAGATATGTGTAACTGTTAGGGTTTCAATCCATTTGTTAATGTTTGTCAGTTGTGCCAATTTTCATATTAATTATTTTGGAGATTTTTTTATTTAAGGCATTTTCAGTCAATTTTAGGTCATAAAAATCTGGGTGCTGGTTATAAGTATTATGCACTGCTAGAAGACAAATGTGGAACAGCATTTTTAAGGGAAAATCAATAATAGTTTAATTTCTGTTAATTAAGGCAAAGCATATGGTGGCAGACTGCCTAAGGGAAAGGATGACTATATCAGTGTTCAGGGATTTTATTCCATGAACTGCTACTGGACAGAGAAACTAACATATGCCATTGGATACAGGATCAACATCCAAAAAATTTTGGATGTCGATGATAATGATCTCCATACAGCTCTGTCTTTAGTAATTGCACCTTCAGAAATTCTACTGTTTGAGACCTGGGTAACTGGGTGTCCGCCGAAAACATCCTGGATGAAAACGTTGAAGTACAAAAAACTTGGAAGAAAAGAAAGCAAAGAGAAAACATCACAGTTCTAAAATATCGTCGTACAAAATATCGCTGTCGAAAATAAAGTGGTTAAAAAACTTTGTGGTTTAAAAACATCATCGTCGAAAATATCATTATAAAAAAATAAAGTACCTACAAATCATCGTGTGATGATAACATTAAACATACAGGTGTTTCAGGCCTTTATGCATTTTCACGTTTTAAAAGTTGTAAATGCATGTTTGCATAATGATTTGGGAGTGCAGGAAGGAAAGAGGGATTCTTTTAATTTTATATTTCATATTTTTGAATGAACTAATAAATTTTTGCCAAAAAAATAAGAAGGAAACTTAAAAACTGAAAATGAGTTGAAAATTAATGAAAATTACAGCACTTAAGAGGATTTTAAATTTACATAGTTAAATAATAAAGGTCATTAATAAATTAACCTTTTTTTTATAAAGTTTTACTGATACTTTTTGTATGAAGAATACAGTCTAAAAATGCTTAGAAAAAGGAAGATAAAAAAATAACTGCATGAAGTTACCTCTATAAAAATTGCTTAGTTAATTATAAAATTATTTTCTTTCACATTTGTTAATCTGATATTGTTTTACTGAAAATTATATTTTGTTTTTCTTAAAGTGTCGTTAATGTTTTCATGTGTAACGTGAAATCAACGTTTTGGATTCCGATTGGTTAGTTATGACGAAAGTCAGTTATATAATATGTCAGTATGGGATTTGAAAAATGTATGTGTGCGATGGTATCGGCATGTGATGATTTGTAGGTACTTTAATTTATACTACAATATTTTCAACGACAATGTTTTGAAACTGCAAAGTTTTTTTTAACCACTTTACTTTCGACCATGATATTTTCTCTGCTTTCTTTTCTCCCATGATGTATTGCACTGCGACGTTTTCACCTAGCATTGGTTTATCCGTGATGTTTTCGGCCATAATCAGGTAACTATTCATGCTGAAGTGAGAGTTTATCATTTGATTTTTTGCAAAAGTCCTCAGTAACAGTTGTTTTATGAGAAAAGCAAAGTGGAATGATTTCATTTTGCATGACTATCATACAAATTAAAACTTACCATTCTTCCAGGCAAGAAGTAACACTGTTCTCCAAAGCTGCAATCAGACCTGGTTAAGCTAACCTCAACTGCACACAGAAGCTTATTCATGAGAAACCTGTCTGCTGCATCTGCATTCAAACACCATTTTTACTTGATTGTTATATATTTAGTCTTATTTGAGACTATCATTTTCACTTGATTAACTACATAGCTATAATACCATTTTCACTTGATAAGTGGATTTGAATGTCAGTTAATGGCTGCACTGGAAGTAAACAGTAATCCTTCAGAAGCAAAATTTTCTTGTGATCAGTTGGTTTACATTGAAAACAATTTCAAATGCAGTTTTTTCTCCGTCAAATTAAAATACAGTAGGCACATTTTCTAAATACAGTTCAGGGCATAATTTCCCCCAAACTTTGGATGATGTTCATTCTTGTTTTAGAAGGGTAGTTTTTTTATATTCATAAGTTATTAACATTACAGATCACAGTTACAGTTAAGTATTAACATTACAGATCAACTGACCTATGAGACTGATAATTTAGAGGAAGATCACTAAAATCTAGATTCCTTAGAACATAGTTAGCTAATGGATATAACTGTAACTAAAAAAAAAAAAAAAAAAAAAAAAAAAAAAAAAAAAAAACAATAAAATTGCTTAAGAAGTTCTTTCATGCATTTTTGTGCTAATTGTGTTTTCATTGTAAACTTATCGAAATACAACTGTTTGGATAAATAAATCTACAGTTAATAAAGAAACATGACACTCAAACCTGTTAGTCCAAACACTGTTGTCTTCAAATATTTCTGATGACCAGCTAGATCAATAAATGTTATAAGTTTTTTGGAACTGTCACAGATTTCTTCAGCTGTCCTGCAAGTACTGTATGTCATTGCACTGCCTTTAGAGTCAAATCCTAAAATTTCATGACTGATGCTGCTCGTCCTACCACTTTGAATTTCATGAAGGTGACGAAACAAGTTCAGGCGAGCACTGCCATGTCCATTATCTTTCTCTCCTTGAGTTAGGACCCCTAGCAAAGTACTCTTACCAACATCAGAACTACCAAGAACTGCAACTCTTAGTTCCAATGAATGTTGATCATCAGAAATTTTTCGGACGAGGAACTGGAAGACAAAAATAATTTCTACAGTTATTTCATATAAATTAAAAAAAAAAAAAAAAAAAAACTGTAATAATGTGTAATTTTTTCAAGGTTATTAGAGGAGCTGTTTAAGAAGTTGAAATATCCTAAAAATTTTAAGTCATGACAAAAATTTAAATCAAACAAGAATTCAATTTACTCACATTAAAAATCTAAAGAAAAAAGTAAGGGAAAAAAACATCATTCTTCAATACGCAACTCCCGGAGCATGGTATTACGAAGGCACCATGAATTTTTCGTCGTTTGACCCAATTTTTGGTCCAAATGCATTTTTCTTTTCCTCCCCTTCTGCAGCAGTAGCTAAGTTCAAAATTGTATCTATAGTAACAATTTAAAGTAAAATAGTCATCCATTATTTTGACAACACTGTAAGTTTTGTTTACAAATCGTAGACAGTGTGACGCTGTAGAGGGCAGAAACACTTCCTTTCACAGTGATTGGCTGAGTGAATTTCTGTACTAACGAGAAAATCGTTCCATGTGGACAGGCGAGCTATCTCAGATATTGTCGGCTGACGAAATCACTCTGTGTAGACGGGCCTTAATACTATATTTCCATTCAATATTTTACTACTGACATAATTTTTCCATATTTTGTAATTCATATGATTTTGGTAAAATAGCAAAAGAAAAATTCTATAGTTTTATATTCCACAAAATACACATATATATTTTTGTTATGTTTTCTTTAGCTTCTTATTATTAACATCTAATATCACTAATGTCCTTGCTGAATGTAAACATACAACTGATATTTTTCAATGCATTAATGGAGAGAAAGATATTATGAGCTATACAATAAGGAAGGAAGTCACTTCTAGTCACAAAAATAAGTCACAAAAATAAGGATTGGAACATGCACCAATAAGTAAATTTTCTGATTAATTTCCAACTAAGCAAATTCCCTTGCAAGCAAAAATGCTTATCATAATGATGCATTTCATCCACGTAGTAGGAACCAGTTTTGAGTAAAAATTTCAGTAACCATCTAATACTATATTCCCATTCAATATTTTATTACTGACATTAATGATTATTAGAGAGTAATCTAGTAAAAATCTACAGTTACTAATGTTCACACAAACTTCAATATTCTTGCTAGCAAGTTCACAGTTTGATTAATTTTGGATATTACGAGAGCTACTACTATATTCTGTGCAAGTTGCTTAAAGTCATCTTTGAAGAAGTTTTCATAGACTCTTCATAATTTATTTGTAAGTTAAATAAATTATAAAACAGGTACTTTTAACACATCACTGAATTAGACTGATACATTCAGCATATTAATTTGTCTGGAATTGAATATGGTCATGAAATTAATTCAATTGTCTCACCTCTGCAACAGTTCTTTTTTCTCCAGTCCTTTCATCTTCAACGGTTCTCTCACTAAGACTTGTAACATCAGCACCAAGTTTCTCTGCCATCTTATACAGAGTTTGAAGAGATTCTTTCATTTCTTCATCACCTAAACCAATCAGAGTTCCTCCATCTGCAACTCCAATAGCATAAATTGCTTCACCTTGACCTGAAACATCAACATAGTTTAAAAGGTAGGAAAAGCAAGACTAACATTAATAAAGTACAAAGTCCAACCTCAAAACCACCAAAAACATTTTTTTTCATAGGCTTTATGCATTGGCATTTGATTCCCCCCTCCGCGCATAATGAAAGATCTGGAGAGTCCTGATTCTTAATTTCACTTCGACACTAAATAAAATACCTTGTTATTGATGTTGATGTATTTAATTATGGCAAAGCACACTAGGGCTATCTGCCTAAGGAGAGAGGGATGCCTTCGTGGAGGACTTTCTAAGGGAACTGACTCGTATACACGTTACACATGGGGAAAACCATGAAAAAGCCCATGCAGCCAGCCCGTTCACGGGATTCGAACCTCGGACCGAACTACCAGTGTTCAGCGACTTTACCGCTCGGCCGCTGGTGGGCCGTCCTTGTTATTGAAGAAACAATCATTTTAGCATACATTTGTATGATCAGTAATTTGGCTCTGTTGTTGCGTATCTGCTTGGCACACACCTCAAACTGAACATTCCACAAAGATACATCGTTGATCTGATGCCAAACAGGCGAATCATTATTTATTACTTTCCTTTTATCACCACATATTTATCAACATATGAAAACTTGAGTAATGACTCAGGTAGCGATGCCTAAACAATTATTTTATGTTAGTAATTGAATAATAAAGGAGTATGGTAACCTTTTATGTTGACATTATGCTTGGCGATGATTACAGATTTAAGTTAAATGCACTAAAAATGTTGACGAAGGAAAAATTTCTTTCCATATGTTAAAAATAGATTTTGTTGATGATACTCACAGACCCAAACAATGTAACTAAACAAGAGATTATGTCTGTCTACGGAATTAAAGTGAAAGTATTAGCACAAAAAACGAAGCAAACAGCTTACATTGAAAGAAATGTTTAATAAGGTAAACAAATAAATCTTAAGCTTTTTTTTTTTTTTTTTTTTTTTTGTAAATTTTGATACCCTTTAGATCATAAATACTTTCATTTCATAAATCACGATTTCATATTTTTAACTTTTTTTAACATGCCATTTTGCTACATTTAAACTGATGATCTAATATCTGGAAAAATCCCAAATCCGGAATCACCAAAGTCCCTATGAGTCTGGATTTCGGACTGTGTACTGTATACAATAAAAAATAAATTAAACATTTTACATAATTTGACTAAAAATATCACTAAAAATGTTTGAACTTCCTTAAACGATACATACAATTTTGTAAAAATTATAAAATAAAAATACATCAATAAAACATTTACATCAATCAATTTTAAGATTACATTTAGGGCTATTTGAATTAAGAATAACTGATTTGTTATTCACATAAACCCAGAACCAGTGCCAGGGTTCGTATGGCTGCACCGAGTCGCAGAATTTAGGACCCACAGAGACTGCATCAGGCAGTAAAATATCTAGCGCCGGCCCTCAATAAGACATAAGTATATGTGAAAATTTATTTATTCAGAACTTTGATAAGCCTTAAGCATGTGCATGATACATAAGTATAATAAATAACTAATACAATTCAGACTTAGCTGTCTCAGTGTGCAATAGAAGCAAGATAAAATTTAATGAAACAACTTGTCATTAGTCGCCAAGCTCATGATGCATAGCCAAATATGTATAGGGCAGGATAGTAACTTGATGATGATAGCCACTATTTTAAAGGTTTTCGGATATCGCAAAACAAAAGTGAAATTTTCTAACTAACAGATTTTGTAAAGAAATGTAGAGAAGTGGTAATAAATGAAGATGCTATTAAAAGAAGTTTTTCATTGTGATGATAATGCTTCTCAATCATCAATCAATCAATGAATGGCAAAATTTGTAGTATGGTTCTAGATCCAGAAAATACCGCTACCGATAGTGAAGAAAGTGACAAAGAAGTTAATGAAGACGAGAAAATTTTGATTGACAAGTTAGTCGGAATTCTCGAAGTTTTTCAACAATTTCTCAACAATGTAACTAAACAAAAAATTATGTCTGTTTACGGAATTAAAGTGAAAGTATTAGCACAAAAAACGAAGCAACTTAAACAGCTTACATTGAAAGAAATGTTTCATAAGGTAAACAAATAAATCTTAAGCTTTTATTTTTTGTAAATTTTGATACCTTTTAGATCATAAATACTTCATTATTTCATATTTTTAACTTAATAATTTATACATGCCATCTTGCTAGATTTAAACTGATGATCTACAAGGGGTGATCAAATGAAAAGGTATGAAACGACATAAAAACGTAACAGTTAAATATTTGCATATTCTGCCATGGGAGAATGTAGCAAGACATCTTGGGATGCGATTGTAATCTCTGACTGGGATCAAAGCATGCGTCGGTGCCCGCATGCGCAGGAGAGAGCAGAGCTCTTATCAAAAGCGGCATCCAAATGATGCAGCAGTCCGTATGAGGCCAGGATGGCATTCGCTTTGCAAAATTCGACGACTGAGGAGCAGCGAGGTGTTATCCGATTTCTGACAGCGGAAAGTGAGAAACCGGCAGCTATTTATCGCCGGATGGTGACAGTTTACGGGGAGAAATGTGTCTCTGACAAGTCTATCAGAAAATGGAGTGCCCATTTTCGTGCAATCCGTGACAGTGTGGATGATGATGACCCATGACCAGGCCAGGCAAACACTGTCATCACGAGCGATCTCGACAAGGTGGACGACCTAGTGAGAAGTGATCGGCGTGTAACATTGTGATGTCAGCTATGGAACTGTGTGGATGACAGGTTGCGATATCGGAAGGTGTGTGACGCTTGGGTTCCGAAGCAGCTCACTGACCAGCAAAAGGAACTGCATATCAGGCTAGCACTGCAACATTTGTTTTGGTATCAGGAAGACCCCGCTTTCATGGAGCGGATCGTCACAGGTGATGAGACCTGGTGCCATCACTACGAGCCAGAGACAAAGCGGGACAGCATGCAGGAGAAGCATACGTCGTCACCTCCCCCTAAAAAGTTCAAAGCTGTGCCATCAGCAGGCAGTGTGTTGCTCACCGTCTTTTTCGACGTTCAAGGTTCGGCTACTTGTGGAACTCCTCGAGCACAGAAAAACTATTAACTCCAATGTGTAGTGAGACACTTCGACATCTACGCAGGTCCACAAAGAACAAAAGACCGGGGCTGCTCACAGAGGGTGTGGTTCTGCTCCATGATAACGCGTGCCCACATGTCTCCAGAGTCACACACATGGAACTGGCCAACTTCAAGTGGGAGACTTTGGACCATCTGCCCTACAGTCTGGACATGTCGCCCTGCAATTTCCATGTGTTTGGTCCACTAAAGAAACACCTGAAAGGGAAACGCTTCAACTCGGACGACATACTCAAGGACGCTGTGAAGGACTGGATCTTGTCACGCCTACAGGAATTAGGCAACAAGGAATCCTGCGGCTTGTTCATCAGTGGGATCGTTGTGCTCAGGTCTATGATGTATATTTTGAATAAAGTCTACATTTGTACCCGTGTCATTTCGTACCTTTTCATTTGATCACCCCTTGTAATATCCAGTAAAATCCCAAATCCGGAATCACCGAAGTCCCGTCGAGTTCAGATTTCGGACTGTGTACTATATACAATAAAAAATAAATTAAACATTTCACATAATTTGACTAAAAATATCACTAAAAATGTTTGAATTTCCTTATACGATACATACAATTTTGTAAAAATTATAAAATAAAAATATTTTAATGGCTAATAAATAAAGTTATAAACTGAATATGACTTGAGGAATTAAGTAGTGTCAAGAGAGAAAAGAGATACTTTTTTGAAATTCTATAAGTTTTAAAAAATAATTTTTATTATCTACAACAAAACTTATGCATTAATCAAATCAGGTATTTTTAAGAAATTGAATCTTATTTCCCAGCATAAAATTTTTAATGTACTGTTTGCATTTCAGCATAATAGTGAAATGAACCGAAAGCATCACTTCATAGAAGGAAAAGAAATACATTGATTATGGCCATAAAGGTCTGCAAGCTGCTTTAGCAGGGATTTCTATGACTAACTATGTCACATGCAGGAAAATGTAAAAATCCTGTGGTGGCTAACCTGTTCACCATCTAGGATTTAAATATGCACTTAAATATCAGTACTTAATAAAAGATTATGCTGGTACCAAACCATAACATCCCTTTTCTTGGGGATAAGAGTACCATTAAGAACAGTTCTGTATTTTCCATCATCATATTAGTAAGCTCTACTAATTAAAGAGAGCATGATTTTCACTGCAAGTTTTTAATCAATATAAAATATATTTGCTCTTAATAAGGAAGGTAAAACTCACTAACATATTTCATGAAGAACATACACAGGATGCAACAATTTTAAAATTTCAGTACAGCAATTTTTCTTGATTTTTTAAATTTCTGTTTATGCTACACATAGGGTGTCACATATTTTTTGAAAAATCATGATTAAGCAAGTAACTGAAATTGATAGAACAATTAATATTGAATAGCAATAACGTTTACGTTATGATATATTATCTGCTGGCTGAAAAATTTTACACCCTGAAAATGACTCTTGCTAGAAAGGCTTCAGTAGACAAATCCGATACTACTTCTAGATGAATAGCCTTTGTACTAAAGCAAATAAATATCGCGATGTATGATTTAAACATAACTCTAGATCTTTTCAAATTAGGCTTGGTGATAACTGGACCTGCAAAGTCCAGTCCTATTTTTTTGAATGGTCTAGTTATTACAACTCTATCTCTAGGTAAGTCTCCCATCATTTGGTTTATGGTTTGGTTCCTTGTTCGAAAGCATGTCATGCATTTACTTATAACGCGTCTAACTCTATCTTGTCCGGAAGGTATCCAGTATAATTGTCTAATATGAGAAAGTGTTGTTTGAACGCCCGAATGAAGAGATTTTTTATGATAATAATCTATGAGTAATTCAGTGAAATGATGTCTTTTTGTAAAAGAAGTTGATGTTTGTGGTCTTCTGAAAGATTGGAG